CTTGGGAATTGGTTTGTCGTGTGTTACAGGTCCTTTTGATCTTTTGATTCAAGATCAGGATTAGATCCAGCTTGATCCCTTGAGGATCATCATCTGTTATCACTGATAACAGGCCGGTTGCCGATTCGTTGGTTCACGACTCAATTTCAACTCTCCCTCTACACTCAACCTAAAAAGGCTCTAGCCCAGGTGATTTTCGTTGTTTTATTAAGGTTTCATTCGGACTTTTATTGAATGGTCATTTAACAAAGGTACTGAGTTTTAATTAAGGTTGGTTGGACAGGAGGTTTGGGGCTTGCATGGCTAAAGCGGAGGGTATGAATGTCGAAGGTGGTTGGGGTTGACTCCGTGTAGTGTGTGGACTGTTGATTTGGTTCGTTGATGTGATGGCAGGTATGTGGTGTGAATCAGATTCCGGATTTGGTTGCCTGCGATCACACATATACGTATTATTATGAGAAACCCCAGCGAAACTATGAGGAGCGATCGTCACATATTTAATCCTTATATATGTATATATGGGCATGCTTGGGATGAATGCTTGCATGGGTTGAAGAAGCTGCATATTAAAAGCCCCATCCAGAAGTTGGGACTGTAGAACTTAGGGGAGGCCCCTACTTCTATTTTATTATTGCTTTTTGAGGATTCTCTTAGTCGGACGTTTGGTCCTGGGCTGGGATTCGAGGTCTTTGTCCAGGACATCCCAAGCCCTAAGCTCTGCGGGGGAGGGGTCTTCCCTCGCATAGAGCCTATTTGATTTGCCTACCGAGACGCTCAGGCCAAGAGCCTAAGGCGTAGCGGCGGCTGCACGACTATTTCCTTCAGCCGTGCAATGTCGTGAAGGGTTAGGCCCTCACGACACTTCAAAGTCTGATACTTGAGCGTCATAAGCGGTCCTCGGATCCACGAGGGACCGTTTGATTATGGGCACTACATAGTACGCCATCATTGCGACTGCTTGCGTACGTTTGCATTGCGAGTCGATATGAGTAGGCCCTGCGTCCGCGCATTTTTATCCTAAGTCCCGCGCGCGACGGCTATTCGATTTTTGCGTCCGAAAGTTATGGGACGGCTACTGAGGGGCTAGGAGCGTTGTCGCGTTTGTTGTGTCGTGTCGTTTTGTACGTGTACGTGTACATGTTTTTATGTCTTTTTGTGGTCGTAACGTGGAGTGCGCGTGGTGTATGGGAAGCGTCCTAGTCGACCGACGACGAGTCGCGCTTGGGACCTCAGCCTCCCCAAGATGTCGGTTCGCGTGCGGGTCCGATAGAGGCGTATTACCGCGCGTACCCCCTATGCTACAGCGAACGAGAAACGCCCTCGGCTGGTCCACCTCTGCGATTGCANTTGATCTTTTGATTCAAGATCAGGATTAGATCCAGCTTGATCCCTTGAGGATCATCATCTGTTATCACTGATAACAGGTCGGTTGCCGATTCGTCGGTTCACGACTCAATTTCAACTCTCCCTCTACACTCAACCTAAAAAGGCTCTAGCCCAGGTGATTTTCGTTGTTTTATTAAGGTTTCACCCGGACTTTTATTGAATGGCCATTTAACAAAGGTACTGAGTTTTAATTAAGGTTGGTTGGACAAGAGGTTTGATGCTTGCATGGCTAAAGCGAAGGGTATGAATGTCGAAGGTGGTTGGGGTTGACTCCGTGTAGTGTGTGGACTGTTGATTTGGTTCGTTGATGTGATGGCAGGTATGTGCTGTGAATCAGATTCCGGATTTGGTTGCCTGCGATCACACATATACGTATTATTGTGAGAAACCCCCGCGAAACCATGAGGAGCGATCGTCACATATTTAATCCTTATATATGTATATATGGGCATGCTTGGGATGAATGCTTGCATGGGTTGAAGAAGCAGCATATTAAAAGCCCCATCCGGAAGTTGGGACTGTAGAACTTAGGGGAGGCCCCTACTTCTATTTTATTTTTGCTTTTTGAGGATTCTCTTAGTCGGACGTTTGGTCCTGGGCTGGGATTCGAGGTCTTTGTCCAGGACATCCCAAGCCCTAAGCTCTGCGGGGGACGGGTCTTCCCTCGCGTAGAGCCTATTTGATTTGCCTACCGAGACGCTCAGGCCAAGAGCCTAAGGCGTAGCGGCGGCTGCACGACTATTTCCTTCAGCCGTGCAATGTCCTGAGGGGTTAGGCCCTCACGACACTTCAAAGTCTGATACTTGAGCGTCATAAGCGGTACTCGGATCCACGAGGGACCGYTTGATTATGGGCACTACATAGTACGACATCATTGCGACTGCTTGCATACGTTTGCATTGCGAGTCGATATGAGTAGGCCCTGCGTCCGCGCGTTTTTATCCTAAGTCCCGCGCGCGACAGCTATTCGATTTTTGCGTCCGAAAGTTATGGGACGGCTACTGAGGCGCTAGGAGCGTTGTCGCGTTTGTTGTGTCGTGTCGTTTTGTACGTGTACGTATCGTTTTGTACGTGTACGTGTACATGTTTTTATGTCTTTTTGTGGTCGTAACGTGGAGTGCGCGTGGTGTGTGGGATGCGTCCTAGTCGACCGACGACGAGTCGCGCTTAAGACCTCAGCCTCCCCAAGATGTCGGTTCGCGTGCGGGTCCGATAGAGGCGTATTACCGCGCGTACCCCCTATGCTACAGCGAACGGGAAACGCCCTCGGCTGGTCCACCTCTGCGATTGCAACTGATTAGCTTTCGTACTGTGGACTGGTAGCTCGGCGGGGATACGCCCACCGAAGGGAGGTGACAACTCCCGTAAGGTGTAGGTAGTCGTGCCTCGCGTAGGCCCTATCTTGTCGTAGGGGCTCGCGAGAGGTATGGCTGGCGCACCCGGCCGGAGCGGCTTGTGGAAGCTCCATGTATTTTTGCGACGAAGGATTGAAAACCAACTCCTGCGTGACGCGGCCGGGAGGGTCCCGCGCTGCCCCGTGCGGTGCCGGACCGATTGCGCCCGACAGCGCTGCCCGCGCACCCTCGTTGTCATCGTTGTCAACGTCGACCATCTCCTCGTCACCCCTCTCTTGACCCCCCCGTCCTGCCCCTCCCTCGTCCCGACGTGGATCCATGGCAGGTACCATATGAACGACGGATCGTGGATGACAAGTCCCACATGCAAGCACCGCCCCTTCTTCTTTGGCCAAACGACGGAACAAGACCACTCAGGACAAAAATCTTTTCTACAAACAAAACTATATACAACACGTGGCTTTATTCGTCATCAAGACGTGGGTATTCCCATTCGTAAACCATTCATGCTCTCATAGGCCCTAAAAAAAAAAAAAAAAAAAAACCGGATGACTGGTCCCACCGACTCCCACATGAAAGCACCACTGCGCTCACCAAACTACACCGAACAACGGGACAAAACCAACAGGGATGTAGACAAGAGTGCCAAAAACAAACATAATAAAAACAAATGAACCTCGAGTGTGACACTCCATACCCTGTGCACTCCATACCCGATAAACTCTACATTCACACGGAGAGAGAGAGAGAGAGAGAGAGAGAGAGAGAGAGAGAGAGAGAGAGAGAGAGAGAGAGAGAGAGAGAGAGAGAGAGAGAGAGAGAATAATCGTGGATGTCTGAACTATTCGTACGGAGAGAGAGAATAATCGTGGATGTCTGAACCATTCACGTGGAGAGAGAGAGAGAGAGAGAGAGAGAGAGAGAGAGAGAGAGAGAGAGAGAGAGGGACATCAGTCGTCTGTCTGGTTAGCTGTCAGCAGCGTCTCTAGTAAAGCATGAGCAATCACTTTCTCTCGCCCACGTACAGGAACACACACGCAGGTACACCTCTAGTCGCCCACTCCCACACCCACACCCACCCCCGACCGCGAAAACTCGGACACTCGCACAGACGCTGAGAGAGACGAAATCCGACACAGAAGGAGCGACAGTCTGCTTGTTTTTTCTTTGCGCTTTTGTGTGTGTGTGTGTGTGTGTGTGTGTGTGTGTGTGTGT